ATGAAATATAAAATGGTTTCTGATGCCGGCATGCAAACTAAGTACAAATGTACAAACTAGTGAATATGCAGACACAGCATGTTGGCCACAACATTAGTGTTGCAGCCACACAGGAAAGGAAGTACTTACTGCATTTACTTACTGGTCCACCAGTGCCTCTTACAGCACTTACCTTAGTTTCTTTTTTATGTGCTACAGCCTAGTTCCTTGGACACGTGTTTTCTATTCAGCTTCTGTTTAGTGTTTAATTTACAGTAGCTGATTTAAATCAAACAAGTATTTTGCTTTTTGCTGGCCTGATTTCAGTGCAAAAATATTTACAATTGTATTGTGTGCAAGAGTGTTACAATAAAAAGAAGTCCAACAATAAAATCTGGAAAAAAGATTGGAAAAACAATAGTTTCTTGTTCATTTTCACTTTTATTCTTTGGTCACTTGTGTAGTAACTTTATTATTATTTGCTGTACAATAGTATCTATAAACATCTTATGTTTTTATTTCTTTTGCTGAAGCAGTTATCTCACCTGTTGGTGTCATTCACTTGGCAAGATTCCATTCTAGCATTTTAACTGCACCATATTGCAATAAAGGTGTTTCCCTTACAGATTTATGGTTTCACCTTTGCCCTAGATTTGTAAAACGTATCTATTTGATTTGTTTTTGTATCTATTTGATATGAGTATTTAAAATAGGCAGAAGAGTCAGAGATTTTGCTTCTCGGGCAACAGACAAGGAATGAAACCAATGTCTCTCAAGATGATCTGCAAACAGTGTGAATCGCTTGATGTGGGAACAGAAATAAAAAAAACCTTTGAATCTTCATTAGTACAACTACAATTATAAAAACATAAGCAAAGAGCAATCAAATGCATACACAACTCGGATTGCTTCTGAGATGCTTTGCAATGATTACTTCTGTGTGAAGTTTGGCTTAAAGATACGAGTTCTCTACCTTGCATTAATACGGCCCAGTGATTTTCTGTGCACTAAGGGTCAGTTACTGAGCTGTATATATTCTGTTTGAGGAAGGCTTTACCCATTCTTGATTTATTGTGTTCAACATCCTATACATCAGAACTACACCACTTTCCCATTCCTTGGGAATACTTTCAGTATAATACTAAACTGAGACATGTACTTTTTTCTAAGTCTTGCAATTTTTTTAAATGTTTTTATGTTAACTGGGTAAAACCATCACAGCAGGCTAATGAGGATTTGCACAATAATAATAATTGTTTACACTTATATAGCACTTTTCTGGACACTCCACTCAAAGCACTTTACAGGGACTCCCCTCCACCACCACAATGATGCAACGGCAGCCATAGTGCACCAGAACACGCACCACACATCAGCTATCAGTGGGGAGTGGTAATGTAGCCAATTCATAGATGCAGATTATTAGGTGGCCATGATTGGTAAGGGCCAAAGTGAAATGTGGCCAGGACACCAGGTTACACCCCTACTCTTTTCAAGAAATGCACTGGGGTTTTTTAATGACCACAGAGAGTCAGGACCTGGGTTTTACATCTCATCCGAAGGACAACGCCTGTTTACAGTATAGTGTCCCCGTCACTATACTGGGGCATTAGGACCCTGCTGGCCTCACTAACACCTTTTCCAGCAGCAACCTTAGTTTTCCCCAGGAGGTCTCCCATCCAGGTACTGACCAGGTTCACACCTGCTTAGCTTCAGTGGGTTACCAGTTGTGAGTTGCAGGGTGATATGGCTGCTGGCACAATGGTGTGTATGTCACAGATCTGTTTTACAACTTCATGGGAAGGATTAGGCAGACTCAAAACAAATGCATTTCCATGGAATATTTTATTGTCTACATGCAGTAATTGTTTTTTACTGTTTATATCTACAGTATGCTGCATATAGCAGAGGGGAAACCCTCTGACTGCAGGCTATAAGTATTCAGCGACTAATGAGGCATTCCTTCTGACTCCTCATTGGTCACAGGAGGTATCTTGGCATTTCTAGGATCTTATATGAGCTTCCTCTTGCATGATTCTATATGCTGTCTCACTGCTGCTTTTTCACACTTCTCCAGCCACATAATAACAGGAAGAGAGCACTGAAATACAATGCAAGTAAGTTTAGCAGCAACACACAAAAAATCATTTTTACCTTCATATTCATCGGGGTCTGTGAGAATCCAAATTTCTGACGTGTTGTTATCACTGAAACAGAACTGATTTGCTTTGCTTGCTTTTTGCACAAAATGCTAGGGTAACATACAGTACAAGCTATATAAGGTAACTTTTATTTACATTTGGTTGGATATTTTTAGTACCAATTAGCCTTTTAGCGCTGTGCTGTGGTATTCTATCAACAACAGGTATTTTAACAAAGGGCACATTCTAAGATTCCTGTGTTAAGAAACAGTTCCTCAGTTTAAAAAAAACTTCCTGAAGGTTTGCAGTTGGTCTCATCATGAACAATGTTCACTTTATTTTTTTCTCTTGACCAAGGACAACATTTGAACAAGTGTTTCGAAACAGTCGTGTTTCTTTATAAAAAACAGTTATAGAATCTTGTTTCTCAGTGAAACACACATGACTGAAGGGTGCTGTTGCTATAATTTAAAAATGGAATAGAACTTCAAAACAGGATAACAAACACTGATGCCTTTATTGGATGAGGCACTTCCATGCCCTTGTTTGCTATAGATAAACCACAATTTTCTTTAACCTTCTTTTTATCAGAAAGACTTTCTAATAAACTGAAGCCCAGTAGATCCTTAACACCTTTCTTTTAAATTGATCAACTTTCCAAACAAAAATTACATATTTGGAATACACAAAGAAGAATCTCCAAATATAAAAAAACAATGAGAATGTATTTTATTACGGTGTTATGGATCTAAAAGCAAGCTACTCACATGATGGTAATCATTCAAATGTAAATACTGTTTCAGGCAAAGCAAATTTATTGTAAAACAAAAACTCTGTAACAGCTAATAGTAATTGAATTGAACAATGGATGTCGTTACGGGTAGACTTCCACACTTGTACTATACAAATAAGAATTAACTCAACTATGCTTATATAGTTATATGTCTTTAATGCCTCTCAGTACACTGTATTGTAGCCCCCAATTATTTTTCAATGAGAGAAATAATCTAATAAGTCACACATGCTATACAATTGTAATACTTATATGTATGCCATCTGGTTGTAAGCAAAAACTGACATGAAAACCATACATAAGCAGAAATAGTTAAGACAATGGGTGCACTAAAATATATACTTTCCAATAATTCTGTTTAAATATTATTTAGATAATGGAATTGGAAAAGACAGTAAGTCTACCTTACAATATAGCAAAGCAGCAGTATGTTTAAGTGCTGTTTTTCATGGTTAGAAAATGCTTTGCTAATTTACCAATATTCTATTGTTTTTAATTGAATTTTCCCTCATATTTATTACTGGGTACTGTATGGACAACAAAGCTCCCCACTTCCTATTCATCATTTGTATTGCATTTATAGACTTTTGTCTGTATACACTGTAGGACCCCTGAATTTAGATGAAAACAGTGATCTCACAGTATCAAATTTAAAACCCTTAGTACCCAAACAAGAGTCTAGGTGTCTCCTGGCCTACAAGTTATGCTAGTTTTTTTAAAGGATAAACAAGACATTTGTTCAAGCAGTAAAGAGCCAACATCTTTTTAAAACACAATCAATCATGACCATTGTCAGAATGTCATACTCATTTTAGGCTGAAACCACTAAATGCCCACTTGTGGAGTACTTGTTTCCTTGTTTAAAATCATCTATCTTTATTGTGCACTTTATTTGGGATTCTAAACTATTCTTAAGAAAACACCAAGTAAGCTGAGAACACTGAGAAAAAACAAGAAATGCATTGTGAAGCATGTTAGAATGTGGTTCTGTACTCCAGCCAATTTAATAATTGGTAAAGACTTATGTTCTTTCATAACACCATTGTCTGTGTGTACGTATTTATCTACAGGCTTTATTGCTTTGAGCTCACCATAAATGGTGAGATAGTAGTATAATGTGTAATTATTATTCTACAAAATTCCTTTTACTGATACTCGATTTTTTTTAGATTGGAGCTCATTGTTTAGAGTGACCTAATTTAATAGGCCAACATTTTTCTCATGAATAAGCACAAGAGACTTCACTTTTTATAAATCGGCCAGACATGACCACACTGTCTTCAGCAGCTAATGCGAATAGTTCAATACTCCACTCTGAAAGTAGTTCGCACTGCACTCAAGGAGGTGGGTAACTATAAATTAGCCTTTAACGTATCAAAAAGTTGGAAAAGAAGAAAGAAAGAACAGCTTGGAAATTACATGAAACTAATTAGTTCCTCATATTCGACTTCCAATCAATATGGATCTGAAACTAGAGCAAAAAAAAAAAGCTCTTTTGTAGAGTGGATGTGTACACATAATCACATTGTTAACCACACTCAGACCACACTTGTCTGTGGTTTGACATTTATATCCACACAATGCTTTCATTTCGTTCGTTTGCATTTATTATACTTGGAGAGCTCTTCCAAAAAATAAACCTTTTCTATAATTCTTCAATACATTTAACGGAATATTTTGTTTTTATATTCTCTAATAGTTTATATGATTTTAATGTTGGGAAGTATTAAATCACATTTGATAAGGATGATAGGGTTGGAAGACATTCTTTTTTCTGCTCCTCGGTTACGGTACTCATTTTACGACTTCACAGGTGCAACTGTACGGGCATCTGCGTGTGTCCTGTATCTTAAGTTAAAAGTTGCGAATAGCTGATTTCCGAGCGCAACCTTGTCTTAATATAAATATTTCTATTTTGATCCAGTCTTTTTGTTCTTGCTAGGTACAATCCATTGGCATAAAGATTTGTTACTGTTTTAGGATTATCTTGCGCAACGGTGTTGACAGTGGAAGCTCTGTTGCTTTATTTGGCGACGGTGGCTAATTCAATTGTCCATTGAAAAGCATTCTTGTAGTACTGAAAGAATCGGGTTAGCAGCGTACACCATAAGATCCATTCTGGAACCAATTTGTTTTGTTCATATCGGATAATGTCGTTAAGTCTTTAAACCTGGAACCTTGTTTGGGTTTTGTTTCCGCGTTCCTAAACATCCGCGATTTAACATGTTTAAACACATTTTTGAAGTTCACTTCCTCATGCATGGCAGCGATAAGGAAGTGTTGTGAATCTTCTCTAAGCAGAAACTGCAAGCTCAAGAAGTTAAACAAAGGAGTGGCTATAGTGGGCGTGTTACCGTGAAGGCAGGTGATGTATAAAACTGTCCCAGCTCTCCCGTCCCATTAGCTCAAACTAAGTTTTACAATGGGAAGAACTCTCTTATTATGGATCTTGACACTATCAGTCTCGCTTGGTCTTTCAGGTAAGTCGCTGATTATTTTGCATGTCAACAGAACGCGTTGTTACCTGACCAATATATCTTGCAATGTATGGTTTTGAAACTTACAGTATCGTTTAAACTCTTCACTTTCACGACTCCTAAGTTATAGAAGAGGCCTGGTAAAAATAATGATCGTCACAGAAGTCATTTGTATGTGCTTACTACCCTAATAGTTACGTCTAAAGAAACTCGTGTAACTGAGTGTGCCCTTGAGGGAAGACAGTTTGGGCAGAGTTTTTGTGTTTATACATAAAAAATCAAGAAGACATCTTTAAGGTTAAAGTTACTATCATCCATTGAATCAACATTTTAATACACACCCTTTCAGTTTCAATGCATATGCATTGCCATCTGAACAGGTACATTGATATTGTTTTCTACCAGATCATTAAAAATATTATTGCAGTCAAACTCCATTCAAATTTTTGCACACACTAAAATCATGGTACATTTTTTAATTTATATTTTACACTATTGCTTTATCATGAAATGATACGACATAAATTACTATTAAAACATTTAGAGCACTATGAATTTTTTAGTAATAATAATCCCCTTTATAATAATAAACCCAAGGAAACCCACGCAAGAAGCTGATTACTTGGAATAAGAGGAGAAAAACTGAATATTTAATGAATATTTTGTCATGTATAAATATCGCACAATAAATAGAATATTAATAGGCTGGCTCTTATCAAGTACAAAAAAATGTCAGCTTGGGAATGGTCCATTGCTGGTCATTTTTACCAATTAGCAATGAATACGGTTTGTAACCGCTTCAATAACATGTTCCAAATATTCCTGTCCTGATATCTGCCACTTTTGAAATCTGACAGTAGATGTCAAGCACAGTGATTACGCAGTAGCTACTAGAGTGGCCTACTCGTGTCAAGACAAACAGCCTGTCGTTCAGTGGTTGGCAGATTAGAAAAAGAGACCACTTTCCAATAATTGCCTTTCATGTCCTGCACAGTGGGCAGCACAGCGCCACAGTGATTAGTATTGCTCCTCACAGCACTGGTGTTCAGTTCCTCAGGTGCTATTCACTTTGAATTTGTATGTTCTCCCCTTGTTTGCATGGGTTTCTCCCTAGTGCTCCGGTTTCACCCCACAGTTCCACAACATACTGGTTTATGGGAGTGTGTCTTTGTGTCTGTGTGTGCCTTGCAATCGACTGGCGTCCTGTCCAGGGTGTGTGCTCGTTTCTTGCTGGAATAAGCTCCAGCTCTCCTGTCCCCGTATATTGGATAAAGCAGTTAGATATCCTGCATATTGAAGAATGGTTGATTCCTGTTGTGATCTGATCAGCCTTGAATTTATACAAGTGGGAATAGGAAGGAATCTTAGGAGAGTTCCACTATCTCAAACCCCATGTCATGCTTTCTGTCCCCCACCTAGAATAGTTTGTACCAACCCAACCTGATGGAAAAGTGCAAATTAAAGAACAGAAACTGTTTTGGGGTGTTTTTTTTTAATTTAAGGTTTCTTGAGCAGACGTTTTGCATTCTAAAATCCATAGTTTAATCATCATGAGTAATAATACACTTCTTAAAATAAATGACCACAGTGTCTGGATTGTAAAAACTGGGATTGCGCAATTTCCCAAGATACTGGTATCGACTGCATTTTATTAACTGGCAGTTCATTAGGAAGTCACAATGTCTGCTGTAGAGGCAGCTGGCTTCTGACCAAATGCTTATGCGGATGAGATTATTATTTTTCTGCTTGTTTAGCTGAACAAATGCTGAACTGATCACGTTCTACTTGAGGATCAGGGCATCCAGAAAAGAGGCTGAATTATATTTAGTCTTTAGAAATTACTGATTGCTGGATTGGTGCTTTCAAAGTCCAGGGTTGAAGTCCACTGACTATTGTCTAGTCTCCGACAGTTGTGCAAACGTACAATTACTTAATTAAACCAAAGTAGCGACGATGAGGTGTTTAAAATTCCCATGATGCATTTAATTGATGAGAAAAATGAGAAATGCTATTCCAGATATCGTGACTATAAAAAAAAATTCATGCATTCTTGGTCTGACATATTTTTGGTCTGCACACTATCATCTGTGCTGATGAAGGTGTTCAGTTTGAAATCATTTCCGAAACTTTCAGATTTAATATACGATGCCTTGAAGACCACATCTTTAGCTCTCTAAGCTAACAGGAATTTATATCTAGAATCTTCAACATATTGATAAAGTTAAAAATGCTGTAAATTTGTAAACATTTTTTTTTTTAATTCTCACTTGTTTAAGTATTCAGCCCGTTTGCTACAGTAACCCTGAATCAGTGCAGCTGCAAAAGAGTAGTGTGAAACCTCACTGTGCTAATATGGTTTCTGTGTGCCAACAAATTGGTTTAAGCTCAACGTCAGTAACAGATATGAGTAACTGCAGCTCTGTTAGTTGCCTCACATAGCACTATGAGTAACCGATTGTGAAGCCCACACTGCTTTCGATATAAACCAGCGGTGATGTGGGAGGAAAATATCAGGATGTAATTTTCCCTTTAAATACAGTGAAATCAATCTTTAAGAAGTAGAATGTGCATCCTACCACCTAGAGACTACCTAGATAAGTCCTGTCTTCCAAACTGAGCAGAATGGCAACCATAAGAATTCCCAGCTGGAAGTCAATGTTGAAAGATATGGAAAGTTTCTTTGGGGAGTCAGTATTCTGGTTCCTACACAAACCTGGTTTGAATGGTCAAATGACAAGAAAGTAACCACTGCTGAAAAAGGCTCCTCCTAAATTCCATATAAGATACATAACAGACATGTGACAGAAGGTTTTATGGTCAGGCAAAAGAAGAAGCGTGTGGACCCGAGTGATGACCGAGCACAGTACATGTGAATCGTTGTTGCCCACTACACTTGAGTTGTCCACATCTAAAACAGTCCAAATTATAACAGAACAGAAGTGGAAATGACTTTTAATCCAAGAACAGGAAGCAAGTGTATACAAGTGTATATGGGTTGTGGTAGTATGGAACAAGATACCCATGTTATCAAAGCCATTACCCTGGCCTCCTTTAAGAAAATGCCATTAATAATTAGCTACCAATTACCAATGAGCTGAATAACCTCCTCTCTTTTGTAACCTTTCTCATATTGTATCATCAAAATGTGCCAGCACATACAGTACTACTGGTGTAATGGCATGGAAAATATCACTTGTTATTGTGTGTTATATTATGTATTCATTAATATCATAGCAACAGCATGATTTTTTCATAGAGAAGGTAACTCTTAGGTCAGTAATTACCAGCCATGTCAATGCTAACTTAGAACCTCTAATTGTTCTCTAGTTGTTCCCATGTTTGTACAGTATTTATGCTTGCATCAGGTGAAGAATTTGTAGGCTGGGGGGAGTGACAACTGTCCCCATAATCTGTGAGGATTTGATCCCATTGACTTCATCACTTTTTTTGCTGATCAGTGTTTTGAGAAGCCGATTGGGCCATATGTTTATAAAATAAATAGATTTTCGTGGTCTAAGACCTTGCAGTGTTGTTAAAAGCTTTGCAGGACATTATCGTGAAAATATAAAAATACTCCCAATTTCTCCAGCTCTCGTAGAACACATAATATCTTCAGCATGAGAAATGACAAGGACACCGTTTGGAGAGAAGAATGCACAGTCCTCCACACAACTAACACTACTGCAGAGGTCATTATGATAAGGATTCTGGAGTAAACTCTCACCTACTGTAAATAATCTCAGACTACACACTAGTCATCACAGTGTTAAAATGTGCTCAGTTTGACATCAAATCAGAAACTCAGGATTCAATATTTATATAGTTTCCACATTTTGTAGGTGTCTGAGCTTGCAATCCTGACACTTCCAAACAGGACTTTATATTTAGATTCGTCACAACCTACTCCAGATTTATGAATCTTACCTTTTAAATTCGTTTTTTAAAGAGCATTAGAAGATTCTCAGTTGCTTAAGTATTCAGCCCATTGGAAAAGCTGATCAGCTATATGGAACATTAATACACAAAACACAGCTTGAAAACTAAGCTAATAGATATTCCTACCACTGATCTATAATAAGTCAAAGGAATGTCTGAAGATATCTGGGGTGGGTGCAAGTAACATTCACAGTCTGTTAAATATAAATATTAACAGTTTGTTAAAAAGCAGGCATAGATACAGTAAAGATGCAGAATGGAAGAATCCACTGTAATATGCCACAGAACAAAAACAAAAGGAATGGGCGTTAATATCTAATTAATGAGACTGTTGAGTATCCTTCAGTCCTGATTGTCCATGTTTTTCTGGAAGTTTCTTATATATGTATACCTTGTTTCCTGAATTTCCAGTTGTGTATCTCTCTTGAAGCCTTTCCACCACCCCATCTTCACCCTTGCAGCAGCTCCATGGCTCATTCCTTGCAAAAGTGAATGAGGTTCAGTCGGCCTCATCCTTATAGTCATCTTTAGCCGTTCTTTCAGCTCAAGTTATGCCACATATACCCTCTCTGTGAAGTGGTTATTAGAATCTGGGCAAACTACTGAAGTAGTTATTGTTTATCTTTTGATATAAGTGTGCTTGTGCTTTATCAACTTGCAGTAACTCAGAAATAAATAGGATAAAGTTCCTGTTCCAACAGCTAAAAAATGTTTTGCCCAAGGCAGAAGGGGAAAGAAGAAGTACTTGCAAGTAAATGTGCATGTGTTAGTGAATGCTTAATTTCTGTGGCTCATAGAGTTCTGCTTGTGGCTGCCTGTCCATGATATTACAGTCAATTTGTTGAGCCGTCATTGTTACAATTCACATAAAGTTACACAGTAGAATTGGTTGAACGGGATTCCAAGTAACGCTAGGTATTAGTTAAATATTAAGTTGTAAGAAACTGCTTAGGAACTAGTTAAGAAAAAATGCTCATTGCTTAGTACTAGAATTTGCAAAAACATACAAAAAATCAGCTTTTATATTTGTCTTGGGTTAATGCACACTGAGCTAATATTCCTAGGTGAAGTTCAGTTTATTTACTAAAAGCTTTTTGCTAGCACATATTGCATTTTCAACACAAATCACTTGCAGTCATACAATCAATTATGTTATGAATAGAAATAATCCCCGAAAGACCCAGACATTGCTACGGACTGGTACTAATCTTTCCAACTCCAGTTTCCTTCCTCACTACTCAGGTCCTTTGCTGTATTACTGTGTTTCAGTGGGGGGCAGTACTCTGCTGGACGGAGTCAAAGAATATGAAGTGGTGAGACCCCTCAGACTTCACACACGACACAAGAGAGACACTGAGGTAGGCTCAGCCAGTGTTAAACAGAAACATTTTGTTTACTTTTCTTTGTTGCATTTTAGCTTTGAAACTTTACCTGTACTTAAATTATGAGAAAGATGGCTCCCTTCAGATAGTTTTGTTTTCTTTGTGGGTACAGTTGCTTTGTGTTGCATATAGAGAGTATCCCCAACGTTTCCCTTCCATTGGAAGTCTGCAATCCAGCATATAGCTGTGAGGCTGCAGTGTCAAGTGCCACACCCTCGTGCCAAGCGTTGTACTTATTGGGTGTTTGTTTGTTTTTCTCCAGATGTCATGGCCAGATGTTGTGAAATATGGGATGCAAGTGGAAGGAAAAGACATTGTGATGCATCTTGAAAAGAACGAGTGAGCGTGATACAACTGCATTCTGTAATATGCTGTAAAAGTAGAATCAGTGCTGAGGAAAACCTGACAAATAAGAATGTAAATATTCATCTGTTGAAATGATGCTCAACAGTGTCCCCAGGGGACAGAAGGTCTTTTGGTTTTCCTTCCACAAGAGCTCTTAATGTTCCTGATTGATTAGTTATGTTTAACTGAACTAGTTTAACTCCTCTATGAAAAAGATGGAAATTGTGTAAGAGACGTATAAATCCCTCTGGACCTTGGTTGTTAAGGACTGGAGTTGAGGACCCCTTGTCTTACAGATTCTAGTTAATGACCCATGACATGAAATTTGTAGATTAATCCACTGCTTTAAAAAAAAAAGATGATCTCATTGACTTTTTATACATGGACCAGTCCTGTTTGACATATCCTACGGTAACCTTTTCAACATGACCACAGGAAACATCTGACTTTGTTGGCCCTCATTTTGATCAGTCCTTTCCGAATACTCCTAGGGACCTGCTTACCAAAGACTACACTGAAACCCACTATTCTGATGCAGGGAAAGAAATTACCTCCACCCCTCAAGATCTGGTATGTCAATAACTCAACTCAAGTCTATCAATATCAATTCAGGTGGGTAGCTGCGTCAGCATGCGTATGCTGCAAAGGAACAAGTAATAGGTTTATTCCATGCTGAAAAAATGAAGAGAGAAAACACAACGTTTCGGCTGTGGAGCCTTCTTCAGGTGTTTAAAAAAAATTGCATTGTAACTACGGGGTAAAAGATATAAACTGCCTTGTATGGAGTATATAGAGCCCCATGGAGGGCAGATAGTAATAATACAGTTTTATTTATAAGCTCTTTTAAACAAACATAAACCACAGAGACAAAGAATCTCCTTTACTTAATGTTCCTTTGACCCACTCTTCGGCAGACATACTCGGTTCTTTTCAAGCTTTGCTTTTCAATTCAGAATTTGAGCACAACATCAGATTTTTAATATTTCATTTTATTTGTAGAATTTAATACAATAAGTTACATAAATCACTGTTTTATACCTCCAGTCTTTCCATCTGATGTCTCGATAAGGTAATTGAACTTAATTAACATTAATTACATCACTTTAACTGCTTTCCCAGCTCTAACAGAGAGTATTTACAAAACCTTCTGAACTGTAGTCCCTTAGTAGGAATGTTAAGGAGTACTGTTTTCAAATTTTCCTCTTTTTTAGAGCAAGAGTTTCAGATAGTTAATTCGTAAAGGAATGTATTAAGTAATTAAGAGCTTGGGAAGCCAATCACAATAGAACTACCAAGTGATAGCAGTTTCTTTACAGGAGGCTTCTTTCCTTTTTTCTGATAGAAAGCTTCCATCAGTTAGTGTTGAATTTTTTAATTAATCAAGAAAAAATGCCAGATGCATTGTAGTCTGAACCATCCTGTCAAATTAGAATTGGGAATCCTTTATCTAGGTAATAAACCTTTTTAGATATGTGGCATATATTCTGTTTAAATCAGTCTTGGATGACATGGTAACACAAGTTCTGTACAACATGCAGGAGTGGCCTCATTTACTTATTTTGTGTCTGTCTTGTCTTTACCTGTGCCTCTTCAGGATCACTGCTTCTACCATGGACACATACAGAGTGATGACAGCTCCGTGGCTAGCATCAGTACCTGCAGTGGGCTAAGGTGGGTACAATGTACATTTAGGATGTAAAAACAGGACAGGCAAGGGCACACCGTATGCTCTGCATGTCCTGGCTCAGTCACTGTGCAGGGTAGACATTCAAGACTTGGGGATGTCTTGAAAAGAATTGGATTCGTTTACACATTGGGGTGTTTTAACATCACAATAAATAGCTTCCAGTCAGTTAGATTCTCTCTTCCTCATGATTATGCGTCTTTCCATTTAAGGGACTTGAGCTTATTACAAGGGTTATTCCAACCCTGATCATGGAGTTACTCCTGTGCTTGCTAGTTTGTGTTCCAGCTAATCTCACGGTTGCTCATGTCTGTCTTACCTCAAAATAGCAATTGGCTAAATTAGTCTATTGATCTCTCAAACACTCATAATATTTAAATGCCTATAATCCATAAATAGCTAAGAAATTCCAAATGTTAAGTGGCAATAATTAACAAAGTTTAAATTATTCATTTAAAACTTGATTGTTTAAGCTTAGCTGGGAAATTCTTTAGTGGAAAGGGTTTTGTGAATTTACTGTTTAACTTCACTTGGTCTTGGAGAGTAAGATGGTATCGTAACTGTTAATTCTTTTAAAACTTTCATTTACCACTTTTCTGATGCAGTAGTCCAGAGGAACGTGGTTTGTAAACTCTGATTGAGGAACCTATAAAATCAAGAATGGCAGGGGTTCTGTAGAATCAGGGATGGAGACCAGTGCTGAGTATTTTCTGTAACACGCTTCCTCCCATGGTTCCTCTTAGAGGTTATTTCCAGACTGCAGGCCAGCGTTATCTGATAGAGCCCCTGTCTGAGGAAGACACCGGTGACCATGCTGTCCTGAAGTATGAGAGTCTGAATGAGACACCAGCAGTCTGTGGAGTGACCAACACCAGCTGGGATGAGAACTACCCTTCTGTCAGCAAAGTGCGCTCCAGAATTGCGGTAAGACCTAGGCACAGGCATAGTCATGGGGGCTGCTGGGTGCCAGTGTGAAGTTTTGAATGTCCAGAATGGTGTAAACTAAACCAGGAAGCTAAAGAATCTGTGAACAATGCAGGTCATTCTTCAAGGAAATACCTAGTGAATCCTATTACAGTTTATGGTGTTTATAGATTATAGTGATGTTACTGATCCAACAAAAATGATCTGCTCAGTAACTGTCAAATGGTTTAACCAGTAAAGGTGCTTTTGAGGACTACTGTTCACACATCCCTTGTTTGGGTTTTGGCACTGTCATTATCCTACTGTTAGGATTCAATTACCCAGAGTATCCTCAGTTTGCCATGCAATAGCAAACCCAGAGAGCTTTCAGCATTCCGAGTTTTCAATAAGGATCATATCAGTCCTCCTTTTGTAGCTTATTCCACTGAAGGTACTGGGAAGCTTCTAGACTGCAAAATAGAAGATGGCTGACCTGGAGCAGATTTTTGGAACCTTCCTTATCTCCTACATGTCAAACTGAGGGTCTTAGCAGTTGACTTAGTTGATACTGTAGGTCTATCCCAGGCAGGTGTAGAGAGAAAAATAATTGGAAAAATGATTCTAAATTTTAAAATATAGAAGCTGAAGATTGGCTTATGTTCCACGTGAGGTTGATTGTTCCTTAGAGCACGCTCTTGTTTTGGTTTAAGTTAAATTCTTTACAATATAATTAAATTTAAGACCCTGTGGAAAAACCATCACCTGTGTAGAAAAATACTTGGTATACTTAATTTAATTGAAATGACCATTAACACCCATTTACCTTATTCTAGGGGCCATCTCTTATGCAGCAGCAGAAGTACATCGAGCTGTTTGTAGTTGCTGATAACAGAGAGGTAAGAGAGCCAGCTCTTGTTTTTTATGTATCTAAATCAACAACACACTTACAAAAATAATTAAATGTGTTCTTAATGAAACCTATGGATTGCCACACCCCCATATAAATTCACAGTTTCAGTAGGGTCATGCAGTTGTCCTGGTGATACACGCACCATCATGAAATAAATGAATATTTGTATTTACTTAAACATTGGTTTGAAAGAGACAGAAACTGTCTCGTTGGAGACAGAAACTGTAATAAATTATTCACCAGAGTCAGCGTAAGCATTTAAATATGCTCTGTTTATCTAGAAAAGCACACAATATCCAGAATGTTTTTCTGTCTTACCGACAAGTGTAAAAATGTAGGTTCACAGAGTCAACAAAAATTTGAATAGAAAAACATTTGCATATTTGATAAGTGGATAAGTTTTTTTATTTGCATTAATATTTGCACAATTGTAGTCATAGTGAAAAGAGAACAGAATAAGTACAGTAATTTTTGAGAAGCAGAAGGAATTTTTAGTGTTCTATCACTCATTGTTAAATGGCATTTATCACTTGGAAACAAAGAAAGCATTAACAGACTATAAAATGGTGGAAACGTTTTGGTGGCTGCTGTTTTAAATGTTCCAGAACCAAGTTATGCACAGTTTTCTACTGTTTTCAGTTTATCAAAATGAAGAACAGCCTAACAGATCTGAGAAAGAGAGTCTTAGAAATAATCAACTATATCAACGTGGTGAGTTGAGTCTTTATTACTATATACTGTACCAGAAGCATTTAACGATGGGGCTCTGGTGGTCTGTCACCTTGTTTATAGACGAAATTGTGAAATATTTTCATCAGCATTGATTACCAGTACAAAACAATGTGACAGATAGGTGAAATAAAAACTGGAACAATTTGTGATTCAAGCTTCAATTGGAAGCATTTACATTTTCTGTGAAGCTGCCCATAACAGATGGTAATTCTCACAATTGACATACTATTCTAGATTCTAAAGGGCCATTTTTAACTTTAACTTCCTACCCGTACCTACTTCATCTGAACTAACAGCCCCTATAACCTATAGTATACATTGTATTCTTGTCATATGCTTTTCAGCATTGTTAACTCGTACAGCTTCAGATATTGTTTTCTGTATAGCTTGTTCTATCTTGTTTCTGTGTAGCAACAGTTAATCAGCAGATACGAAAGAGGGGGAAATCTCTCTAAAAACATGTTTGGAGATGAAAAGAAGCGATTCAGCCCATCCTGATCAGTTTACCACTAACTGAATACATACAGAACATTTCTTACAGCTTAGAAAGCTATTGTCCACATGACGCCATTAGTCTGACTTCAGTCAGACTCATTCTGATAACAGTTGTTCTTCATATTTCCAGATTATATTTAATCAAACCATTCTGGGTTATTGCACAACAGCGCTGGCTGTCACTGTTAGAAAGTGTATGTTTTGTAATAACTGCAAAGCTACACAGTTAAACAGTAAATAAAATAATGGGAGTTCACACTTTAAGCCCTGACTACAATTATCTACGATGTGCAGCAAAGGAGAAATAAACAAAATGAGTTGGCACAGCAAGATTAATTTTTGCGGACTCAAGGTTGTACAGTTCTGGTGTTGTGGGAGACGAGTTAATTTGTTCCTCCATTCAGGCCTTAGATTAAATTGTAAGTGCTAACTAAAGTACATAAATCTTCATTTTGCAAGCTGCAGGCTAATTGTTTCCTCAAAAGGAAGGTTATGGTGACTAGACAAAGATAACAATGAGATTATTACTGCTCTTGTCACAATATAATGGCTAAAATTATTTCTTAACAAATGGTCATTGGCAAGTTACATGTCCCCTTCTTTTGACTCATGTGAAAGTAATTATCACTAGGCTTTGAAATTTACCTGCAGAGGGCCTTGGAAATCAGGATTTTGGGGCTGTAGGTAAGAAAGCTCTTATTGTTCTTAATTTTAGTGTTATTAATTATACCCATCTTTCTACTGTCTGTTCATAGGTGTACCAGCCATTAAATACCTTTATTGCTCTGACTGGGCTGGAGGTGTGGAATGTCCAGGACAAAATTAATGTGACAGCACCAGCTGGACAGACGCTGGACCGGTTCACCAACTGGCGAAACTCTGACCTGATAAAGAGAAAGAAGCATGACAACGCCCAGCTTTTAACGTACGTCTTAGGAATGTTCAACCAACTAATGCCTCTAAGGTGTACAGTTAACTTAAAAACTCCACTCGTATGTTTCTGTTATATGAAATTCTCTCTCAGAGCCAATAAAAATGCACTGCCATGGTGAAGTTGTGTTCATGACACCCAATGTCTTGATGCATTATGCAGTTTAACAGCAAAACCACAGTGTGTGTAAGAGGAATCTTATGGTGGTGATACTGTGAAGAATTGTACTCATATCTCACAATTAATTAGGTTTTGTAGAATAAAAATTTGCCAGAGTTTGACCACAGGCTGGATTGACTCAAAGAAAGCTATACCCACCAATTTCAAGAGGATTAAAAGAAAAGCCGATGTAAATGACGAGGGTTTCAAAAGGTGGTGTCATCAGGGGAGTCGAAGGGTGGGACAGTGGTGTGTGTCAGTTAGCACTGTTGGCTCACCGCTCTTGAGTCTGGACTTGGGTACCTTGTCTTGTGTAGTTACTAAGTTCTTCCTATGTTTGCTTGGGATTTCTCTTGGAGCTCTGGCATCCTACCACCTTCCAAACACACTGGCTAGGTCAAAAAACGGCATCTTTGACTTTGTTTTTGTGTGTATACGCTCTACAGTGGGTTAGAATCCTGCTCCAGGGTGTTGTCCTGCCTTTCACTCCATGCTTCTGGAATAGGATGCATATTGCCAGGATGCTAACCAGGAATAAGTGTTTTTCAGATAATAGATGGATGGAATGGATCAAAATGTTTATTTAACGTGGTCTATAAAATACCAAGGGCTAACACCCCTGAGCTGTGTTAAAACGGTCGTTGAGAAGCATTAAGAAGTATGAGTGGGGAGCTGCATTGGACTCTTAAGGAACAAGCAAAAATTAATCCCTCACTGAGATCTGAGTCAATGAAAAAAAAACATCATCATGTTTCTCCATTTTGCTTTTCATTTGTTAAATAATGTCTGGACACATTTTCTTTGGCTCTGAATTTTGTAGCCTGCAAAAGTTGGATGGAACTGTACTGTGCATTCATAACATCAGTCACTTTTGCAAAATTTAATGATATAAAATGCACTAAAAAACATATCAAAGCTAATTTGGGTAGGGGAATCAAAATCCCTGAAAATGTTACTTGCTAATGTATGAAGAACTTAAAAAAATCACCTTCTTTCTGTTTTTATAACTTATCTTTCAGTGCGATTGACTTTGAAGGTGCTACCGTGGGATTAGCTTTTATAGGAACTCTGTGTTCTGGCCATTCCACTGGAGTTATCCAGGTACCGTTCTTCCTCAGTCAGTTGATCATTGTCTTATAGAGTTTTTAACTTTACCCTTTTTGACAGATTTCCTCTTGTACTTATGAATGCCACATTACACAGCTATAAGGCTGAATTATTTATGTGGGTAAATTGATAAAAACATATGGAATGTCTAATGAGTTATGAGGCCGGGACATCTTAAAGAGTAACATAGTATAGCTTTATAGGTCCAAGGGAACTTTTTGAATTCTATCATTAAAGATGCTAAATTGATTGTGGTTTCCTTTTGTTGTGGGAAATTCTTCATCAGAGGAGCAGGACACATTCTTGTGCAGATTCAGTTTTATTGAGCTCAATAAGTCCAACAACGCGCACTCGGTCTGCCCCACAGAACACACAAACTGCAAGGGTTTCCCAGCTCTTATATACAGTCAGAAGAAAGTTTGTTTCACAAACAGAAGTGCTTGTCCTGTTCTTTGATATGTAATTACTTCTTGTCCTACTTTGTCATGCTCTAGGTTCTGTCCTTTTATATGCAGCAGACATTGGTCTGCTGTGTCCTGTTTGTGGGTGTTGTTCCTGTTTTTTATTTGTGTTAAGCCACTGGGGCTGCTAAAGCAAGTCAGCTTTATGGCATCTTAGTGTAACTTTTGTTTGAGGCTAAATTAACAGACCCCATCAACACCTCTCACAATGTGCTTAAGTGGTGATACTGTGATGCTGGATAAGTGAGATATATACATGTCCCACTTCACTTTGTATGTCTGAAAATCATAACTGGCATTTTATTTTGCTTGTGAATGAAGATAATTAAATTTGTTTTGCTGGTGTACCTACATTTAAATGTAACTTCTCAATTTCTATTTTTTAATCAAATATTCAATATTCTTCTCACTATGGTATCTTTGCATATATGTTCATACTCCATATCTCCAGAAATCTCTTGGTCCAGAGTAATACTTCAGAGTATTACACATCACTGTTGCACAACCCAGAGTTACAGGGAGGGGTCAGAGGTGATGTGTAGTAACCCCAGTTTTCTCCGTCTCAAAACATTTTCTAAGTGACTTTTGGAGAGTGGGTTATGAAACGGAGAGCACGAGCAAAATGAGATATGTTAAAAAAGAGTTTTTTAGTGTTCATTTTTTAAAGGAGGTGCAGTTGACCTTTCAAGTCCATTGGTAAACCAGCTATTTAGAAAGTTTTTCTTTCTTTCAGGATCACTCTTCAAACGCCATTGCTGTAGGGGCGACTATGTCGCATGAGATGGGGCATAATCTGGGCATGAACCACGACACCAGTTCCTGTGTCTGCAAGGACTCCACCTGCATCATGACAGCTGCCCTAAGGTACAGGATAGCACAAGGGGCAGAGAAGGCAGACAGGCCCAGCATTTCTTTAAAACAACATTACACAGTCACAAAAGCTTTGCTTCGACACCTGAAATTCCAAATTTCAATACCTCTGCACAGGGGCAGGGAACTCTGCTATATAAAAAATGTCTTCTTTCAGATTGGATGTTCTGACCATTTTGACTTGTGGTCAAAGACACCATGTTACAGTTTGAAACAGTGCTATTTGTGGTAAAAACATTGTATAAGTGCGATTGTATAAATAGAGCAGATTCAAACAAAAGTCACTTTTCATTGGAAGAGTGTGAAAGTAGGTCATTTCTTTAAGAAAAAAAAATGGCTTTGGAAATACTCTCAAATCTTTTTACTTCAGAAACCTGGTTTTTATTCCAGAGGGACTGAGTTATACAGGAAGTAACGTAAAAGTAAAGCGATTTAGGAAACCAATCAGGCTTATACTGCTTCATTTTTTGGGGTATTTTATCATTTTTTATCAGGCGTACTTGAAAGAAATGGGCATCCACATTACAATGGAAACTTAATCTGAAATCCTGCTGACAAACGTTTAGTACTACAGATGGTTCCCATGGTTAATGGTTGCTCATGTATTTCATTGACAGTTATTTTATACCAAAGTACTTCAGCAGCTGCAGTGACACGAGCTACGACTCATTCCTGAACAACCGAAATCCAGAGTGTGCCTTAGACAAACCGGACCCGCAGGCTCTCGTTTCTGATCCAGTGTGTGGCAACGGTTTTGTGGAGAAGGGCGAGCAGTGTGACTGTGGCCCAGTGGAGGTACGGTACTTTGATGATGGTGGAGATTGTCTGGACACATGGGGCCAGTTTAGAAGAATGCCTGTAACATTTCTGGGATGATGCCTCCGTTGGTAATAATGTGTTGAAATATCAAAGCTTTAGAAATGTAAAGAATTGCCTTGGATCCAAGGATGAAG